AGGGGCACAATGTTAAGGATATCATCGGCGGAGATGGTGAGGGCCGGCTTCTCCTCCACAGGAGCACGGGCTGGGGAGCTAGAGTCGCCACCCTTCTTCTTGTTCTTCTTCTTGCCGTTACCCTCTTCCTGAGGGGAACCGTTGGCACCGTTGGTAGCAGGCACCTTGGCAGGGATTTGAGACTTGTCGAAGACGAACTCGCGAGCACCAAGCTGAAGACCAAGCTTGATAGAGATGTCACGGAGAAGCTGCAGGTGGCGCAGAGAGTTGAACCACTCGGCCTCTAGAGTGAAGCGGTACCGGATGGTGACCTGCTTCTCAATCTCAGCGCGGAGAGTAGCCGGAGTGACCTTCTCGAAAGAGAAGTCACCGTCGGGGTAGATCGAGCGCATGGCAGCGTCAATCTCAGCGCGAGGGCTGGCGTTAACGTCAGCGCCCAAGAGGCAGTTCAACAAGTGGGCAACGCAAGAGGTAACGAAAGGAGCCGGGACATTGCGGAGGTACTGGTTGGCAATGTGCTTGAAGCCACGAGCAATCATCTCCTGGACGAGGAGGGTGGTCAGAGCGTCAAGACGAGCTCCCTTCTCCTTGGACAGCTGGGCCAGCTTGCCTAGGTAGCGGATGTTGATACCGCGCTTGTGCAGCAATTGGCTGAGAGACTGTCCGTCCATGGGGAAACCGACGTCTCCGTCATGCAGATCTTGAACAAGCTCGGGCATGACCTTGGAGCGCAGGTAGTCGCAGGTCTCGCGGACTTCCTTCTCATCCTGCGCCCACTGTTCCTTCTCCTCCTCGGTCTGAGGAACCTGGCCGCTGAACACATCAGGGTTCAGAGCAAGGGAGAATCCTGAGATATCAACGCGCTCCTGATCATTAGACTCCTCAGTCTTCTCCTCGGACTTCTCCTCGGGCTTCTCCTCGGGCTTCTCCTCAGAGCCTTCCTGCTCCTTGGACTCGGAGGTCTCCTCAGTCTTCTCCTTAGAGGCTTCCTCCTCGGCCTTGGCCTGGCGGCGGCGCTCAACTTCAGCCTTGACGTACTGGCTCATTTTGTGTCTCCAGTACGACTCAACGAGTTCCAAGCGCAGCACGGACATGCAGTGGGGATAGGCGTCGCTACCCTCCTCCTCCTGCCAAGTAACATCCATGGGAGTCACGCGGTACAGGTCAAGCACGTACTTGCGGCCATCAGTGCCCAAGAGACCCTTCGTCTCGACGCTGCCCTCCAGTTCGTGACGCTGATTCTCCTTGTCCCAGACAGCGTGCTTCTTAACACGAAGAGCCTTGGACATCTTCTCGAAGACAGGAACGAAGTCGGGGTGGGTGGCCACGACATCCTTGCCCTCAACACCACCGTAGTCGATCTGGTGCTCACCGGGCTCCCGCTGCTTGAAAATACCGGGAACAATGCTCTGACCAACGATACGCTTGCCGAGGTAGTCAACGACAACAGTTCCGGGGGTGAACAGGCCGTTGATGTCAAGCTGGTTAACAGCCTTGATACCCAGGACATCCTTGCCGACAGCAACGCGGGCAGCCTCATCACCACCCTCGGAGGCGAAGGTACCAACACCGTCGGCACCAAAGGAGTAGAAGATGTTGTTGTACACGAAGATTTGGGCGTCACGGTCCTCGGTGGGGTTCAAGGGGGCAACCTCGCCGCGGGCGACAAGAACAGCACCGCGAGCAGCAGCCTCGTTGTAGTCGGCGAACAGCTTGGATGTCAAGCGCTCACGGAAAACACGGTCCTGGACAGTATCCCGAGGAAGCTCCCGGGTAGTCTGGAACTCCTCGTTCCAGTCTCTGAGAGTCTCTGCGTTGTCGACGCCAGAGATGAGGTAGTTCTCTTGGGAGCGAGTGATATCCGACTGGTGTGCGTTGGCGTTTGAGGTGGGAGAAGGCACCAACCACGGGTTGTTGGGGATGGCGTTCTGGAACGGGAAGGTAGTCAGGAGATCCTTCTTGTTGTTAGACTCCTGGAGCGCTTCGAAAGAGGAGCCGAACGAAGGCGACAGGTGGGCGATCAAGGAGAGCAGCGAGTGAGCCTTGCCGCACTTGGGGATGGTCTTGGGAGAGGGGTCGAACTTCATGTTCGAGCACTTGTTCACGTAGAAGCCAGAGACGTGGGACGTGATCTGGAACTGCTCGCCCTCGTTGGTGGTAACCTGAAGGTAGAGCAAGTGACCCTTTTGACGCAGGTGGTAGGGGGGAGGGTTCCAAGCAGAAAGAGAGATGGCCTTCACAGTCTTGGGAAGAGGAGTCTCGTCACGAGGAAGAATGGTCTTCAAAGATGGAGAGCTAGCAATCTCGTACTTGGAAAGGGAGTGGTCCTTGTCGGAGGCAGTCTCCTCGGCGTCGGCCGCAATGGCATCGTGCAGAGACAAACCCGCACTAAGACCATGGAGGTTATCGACACGGTCACCAGCGGCACCGACCAATTCCCTCATGCGGACAACGTGCATGCGGGCCTCCTTCTCGTTGTAGGGGTCCTCCACAAGGACGATCTCGGAATCAGCCTTGAGGTCTGGTACCTCCGACAGTTCAACGAAGTCGTTGATGCGCTGGCCGTTAAACTCGAGGTGAAAGCAGGTGTACTGGAAGGTGCTGGGAAGTTCGACAATGGATTGACGAACGTCTTGGACTTGTTCTTGACTCGAGACCTAACGAAGGATCTGGGTTAGAACGACGGAATTTGGTGCTGGTCGTATAATTTTCCTGTAGACAAGATACCCACCATGACCTGGATCTTGTAGGGCTCACGAGGCAACTTCACGGAGATCTGGAAAAGACCTGGAAACGTAAGAGCCGTGCACGTCAGTAATCAATGTAGTTTGAGCTGTTCTTCAAGGCTACATACCACCGCTGATTTCCTCCTCCTGGCCCTCAACAGGGGAGTCGCCATTGAGGAGCTGTTCGGGAGACTCTGCATGGACGATTGATTAGTTGGCCGAAGGCAAAACATACTGCGAGAATGTCGGAGAGAGCAAACCTTTCGAGTGCTCCAATTCGCCATTGGTCTGGGCCATTTTAGCGGACTAATTGATGAATTGACCGGACCGTAATGAGGGGAAGGGTGACTGGAGTATTGAAGAAGCGTAGCGACCTGGCGACGACTTGATGCCTCGAACCCGAAGAAGAATCGGGTAGCGGTGGAGAAAATAAAATGGAAACGGAACGGGAGGGAGACTGAATAAGAAAAATAATAGAATATGATACAAGGTATAGGAGAGGAGCAATTGAAGCAAGTGCAAACCGGACCCCAGAACCCAAACCAACTAAGGGAAGCGCAAAATGGGGGGGGGAAGAGAGGGGAAAAAAAAAGGTAAAGTATAGGAATAGGATGGAATGAAGCTGGAGAAGCGCACACGGGGAAACCGGCCAGAAGAGAAAATTTCGCGGATGCGGAAAACCTTCGGAACTGCTCGGGGCGGTGGATGGGAAAGACGGCAGATTCAACACTATTTCCAAGTTCTCCACATCCGTTGCCTGCCATGGTTTCTCATCCCAATGGGGCAATCGATATCTGCGCTGTCTTTCAAATCATGCTTGTACGTGTAACTGCATCCAGGTCATCAAGTGAATTGTCACCATTTGCGAAGATTGACTCGATGGTGCTTGCTGTAGTCATGTACAGTGTCCCGCAAACATAGTTCCCACACCTACACCTACAGACACTTCCTCTCTCTGTCTGTTTATCTGTCTTTCGCACAGCCTTACGACCTGGCAATCACTCTTCATGCTACTGCCATAAAAAAGCAACCATAGCCCTAATCCAAATCTTAGCTTTAAACTATTTAATCTCCGATCAGCTGCGACAAATGCGAGACCACCGATTACGCACTACTATCAATATCGAGCTCCCTGTCGGCGGGACCACCGGTAAAGCGGGAGGGAAATATATTTCGGCACAACAGCCGAGTATCGATCAATCTGATAATATCCTAAGCACATCTGCGGAGTAAGTTACATTTTGCACTGATACTGGATAGCCAATCGCTGAGACAGACACCGGTGTAAAATAGGTAAATCTGGCAGGTGCCGTGCTACGGTAGAATCGTTCCTGACATGGTCACGTGCCTTTTTTTGATTGTTCATCCTATTTAGGCTCAGGATTCAAGCAATCGATTCAAGAACACTTGGCATCTAGTAGTCATTAATTCCATCTCAACCTCCAACAAACTACGGGGTACATATTAGACATTGAGCCGCTGGGTACTAAACGGTCAGCCACAGCATGATCAATGCCAAGGCCACTATCAGAATTTACAGTGCATAAGTTTCGACGATCGGAGGCGCAGCAGACGAACCAGAGATGCGCAAGCCAGTAAACGAATGATTGGTTCTGCACCCCATAGATACACCTCATCTTCCTGTTGCTGGCTGAACCTTCCCGACACTCTTTTTTTTCCCCTTACATTTTCCCACCTCAACTTTCTTCCTTCTTTTGGACCTGCTCACCGTTGACGCTCCTTAGTCCCTGGTCCGTGCATGGGCAGAATCTGTTCTTCCGGCCCAATTTCCTCCCTGCTAATTGCACTTGGCATTCGTTGCATGTAGTATATCAGATCCCGTCACTCGTCCTTTGTCATACATTAATCTATCTGCGCCGACGTCCCGGACCATTCGTTCTTATCACCTCAAAGCACAGGATCTATCGCCCTGTTCCTGACTTCCATTAAGTCGTTCTTTTCTTTTTTTCATGACCCCTTCGTCTTCGAGAATTTCTGCTACACACCTCCACGATATCCGACTGGTGGAGGATGATGTTGTATCGACATGCTTCCCGGTCCCTGAGTTCTCTCGCCCGGGCTGGCCTGCCACGACCTCCTCGGAATCATCGAATCACCACCAGTTATGTCGTACGAAACTTCACGCAGGGGCCTGTATTGGCGGGGCCCGACTCGTTAGAGCAAAGCCCATCTGAAGAGCCAAAGAGTCGGGAGAAGAAGAAAGAGAAGGAGGCGGAGGAGGAGCCCACGGTGAGGTCGACTTTGCTGAAGATGATGGAGACGGCGGCCACGACATTCGCCTCTCTTGCAATTCTAGGGTAAGATCCGCTTCCTCACGACATGGAAGCACTCGTGGTTCGCTGATTATGGCACTAGTCTAGCCGGATATGCGTATCATCGGTACTACAAGTATCTGATCCTGGAAAAAATGGAGAATGCTTTCAATCCTGGCGACCCTGCGCTTGAAATTGCCGGGATCGAGGAAGGCAAACACCGCTTCAACCATGAAGAGCATTGGGTAGTCCGTGACGAGCAAGCCCGCATCGACAGGATTGTCTCCGGCCTCGGAGTAGGACGCTATTACCTGTTGGTCGGGGAGAAAGGGACGGGAAAGACGTCCATGATCCTCGAAGCGATGCGTAAGATCAACGGCGAGGGTTGCGCAATGTTCGAGGCGCATGGCGATCTGGAGATCTTCCGGATCCGTCTGGGTAAAGCACTGGACTATGAATTCCATGAAGAGTAAGCGAGTACATATGAAGGCTATTGGCCTGGCTACTGTGATGGCTTGACTGACACATAGTGCGCATCTTGCAGCTACATTGGAAGTTTATTCAGCATCAAGGGCCCCCGGGACACAACCGCTCTCCTGGATATTGAGCGCGCATTCAACAAGCTAGAAAAGGTCGCTTTGACTAGACGGCGCACGAAGAAGAGTCCCTTGATTTTGATTGTCAATAGCGCGCACCTGGTTCGCGACGATCATGATGGCCAAGATCTTCTCGAGGTCATTCAGCAACGAGCCGAGCAGTGGGCCGCAAGTGGCCTTGTCACGACGAGTAAGTTTGATTCAATATGTAACTTGTGGATGTATCACTAATAGTTGACAACAAAAGTCCTGAATAGCGATGACTACTGGGTGTACGAACGCCTCAAGCGCTATGCGACGCGCATGGAAGTCATCCCTGTTAAAGATCTACCCAAGGAGCCGGCCATGGAGGCTCTGAAGAGATACCGTAAGCAGTATTTCGGTGAAGAGCTATCGCCTGAAGATCTGGAGAAGGTGTACGATGCCGTTGGAGGGCGGCTGTCCTTCTTGAATCGGGTGGCTAAGGCCCCTGATTACAAGAAATTGTGTCAGGATATTTGCACGGCTGAGAAGACATGGTTTCTTAACAAGTGCTGGATTTTGGGTCCCGAGATGGATGATGATGTGATGGACCAGCAAAAATATGCGGTATGGTTCTCCAAAGGTCAGGGCGGACGAACTTTGACTGACAACGGTGATAGTCCGCCGCGATGGTGCTGGCCAAGGCACTTGTGGAAGAGGAAAAGAAGATGAAGCATTCCTATCACCCGGAGCTAGGCCACATCCTCCCAGAGATCCCCCTCCACGAAGCCCGGCAGATCATGACGAGAGCCGATTTCGTCCAGAGCTATGATCATGAAAACATCTTCACTATCGACTCTCGAGCCATGGTTCGAGCCGACTCGGTTCCGATGCAGAACGCGTTCCGTGAAATCTGCAACTGGCCAGGATTCGATGAGCACTTGGAGGGCACACTGACGCGTATTGGAGACATCGAAAGTCTCGGACGTACGCGCGAATTGACGATTAAAGACCTATGGAATCAGGGCAAATACCAGCTGGTTATGCGGGATAGCAAGGGTCGTGAGCAAGGCGCGGCGGAGTTTTCCGTGGTAGGGAGCGAGCCAGAGAAAGAGGACGACTGAGGACGATGCTGGGGGATGTGAGTAGCCTGCGACGCGACATGCATTGCAGGCTTTGCGAGGCAATAGCCAGACCTGACTGAATAAGTGTTGACTTGTTCTTTTGGTGACCATTGGGCATCATGCATACAGCCGAATTGTACAGTTATTGAATGTATAGGAATAAACAAAGATGCATGCCATAATGATGAGGTATAGTGGAACGAATGCCTTGCTGCCTCAGTCCGCGAACCAGGGTCCTTGTTTGCATCATGGACGAATGACATCATCCACTGCTGACCTCACCGCCCGCGAGGGCCAAACATTCCCAGCCTCATCATTAATCTTTCTTTCTTTCTTTATCTCGTGTCTCGTGTTGTCCTTTCTCTTCCTCATTCTTTCATTCCCCTCCATCACCCCTCCAACCCCCCCAAACTGACCAGCCTTGACTACAAGAATACCCTCGTCGCACCACCATTCTACCACCACTAACAGCACCACCACACATCTGTGAACAAACACAACGATCAGATTCGAACCATGTCCCCGCGCAAGAAAGAAGTGCTGTCCTCTGTGACAATAACCCAAGAGCCCAGCGCCAGTGCGCAGCCCCACCACAAGACGCAGTTGGAGCGAATTCCACCCCCAGCGCGATTCCTTCTGGCTGTTGTCAGCAGCCTAGCTCTGAGCTCTGGCCTATTTACGCTCATGCCGATCGTGACCCGGGGCGAGCTCGGCAATGTGAGCAAGCATCTTGAGACCTGGTGGGAAGTGGGAGGGTTGATGGCGTGGAAGGCCGTTGAGGTCGGGCTGGCCTGGATTCTGGGATACGACAGTATGTATGCCTCTTCTCACAGCATCCCCCTCCGATGAAACTGACCTCTTCGCGCAGGCCATGACGTCTGCTCCTTCACCTTCCTCACCCATCTTCCGACCTACTCCCTCCTCTCCACCTTCTACGGCGTGCGACCGACCACTATCCTGGCCTCGTATGCGATCACCATCCTCTCGACGGTCCTCCCCTTCACCCTCCTCCGCCGACCCAACTCTTTCCATGATCTCGCCCACGCGAGCCCGGAGACCGTCTCCAACCGCCTCATCCTGCAAGACCGCGCCACAACCGCCTACACGACCATGGTCGCGACCGCGATCTTCACCGTGGCCCTCTACCTCAGCTACGCCACCCCGTGGCTGCCCACCAACCTGGTCCTCCACTTTGAGGGCATCCCCGACATTTCCGCCGTGCACGCCGGACCCGCCGGCCTCCCGGCTCTCTTCCTGACTCTCCTCCCCGCCGGCTTTGCGGCGCGCGACTTCCTCTTCGCCAGCTCGACCGGCGCGTCTGCTGCCAGCGACAAGAAGACCGAGAGGACCGAGAAGACCACGAAACCCTCCACCTCCACCCAGGACGGCGAGTACCTCGCGTGCGCCGTCTACCGCAAGACCTGGGGCACCCTCTCCCCCAAGACTCAAGTGCTGGTCTCGCGCACCGTTGTTCTGGCAGGTATGTTGCTCGCCAACACGGTCATCCAGGTCGCAGGCACGGTGAACCGCGTGAGCGTAGAGGGCGCCTCGGCCTGGGGGCTGGTGTGGGCCGCTGCTGCGCTGGTGAACGGATTGATGTTCGGATGGATCGAGTCGGTGGACGGCGTATGATCTCGTAGGGAATATCTCGCTTCACCCATCTACTTCTTATGACTCCATGGAACACGGTCTCTTCTGCCGAAGCAAAGGAATTTCGGTATCGCATCACGTTCGCTACCAAGGGAAAACTTCTCACCGAAGCAGAGTGTCAATACTTTCTTCTTGCGATTCTCTTTGTGTCTTTCAGTATCATCTTCAAAGCAAGCAATGTATGTCAGCGGGCGGAGCAGCGGTGCAATTAAGCAAACCCCCTCCCCAGCACCTCCCCACCAAATTGAACGGGGCGTTCTGGGAAGTTGGCGAAAAGGATTGGATGGCTGTTTTCCGGGAGATTGTGCTTCTCTTATGACCTTACCCTTTCGATTTTGTTTCTTTTTACTTCTCGTCTTTCCCGACTTTTTTTTTTCGTTATTGTGTGTCAATATCCCTGAAAATATCACGTCCATCTTCAAAACTTGAATGTCTGGCAGCTCAGGCTTGAGATCGGGCAAAACTCTCCCCTGACCCGTAAACTGCACCCTGAAAAACCAAGCAATCTCCGACTTGGTAGCTCGAACCTGCGAAGCCTAAGTTCTAAGCTTCCCGTTGAAACCACCAAGCACCGTACCAAGTCCTGGTACCTACAGCCTCAGCCCAAGACCCACAATTCAGCAAGAGCATAGTACAGCAAGCAGTCAATCCCTGCAATCCCACCCCCCTCCCCCTCCCCCTCCCAAAAAAGCAGAAAAAACAAACTCTACGTACCGCCATGAAAAGCATAGGTACTGTACCAACCAACCAACCAATCAAGACAACCAGGGGGTGGGGGGGAACGGTCGATCAAGTCTACCTACCTTCCGAGAGCCAGCCCAATTTTTGGGTCCGTGTCGCGGAAACCTTGAAACCGAAGATGAAACGCCAACCCAATTTTATCGGATCGGAACTCTGGGTTGCGGAGAAGGTTCCCCCCGGGGTCCCGGGGTTCTCTTGAATGTTTCATCTGAAACGGATGTGATTGATCTTTTTTTTTCTCGGTGGTTGAGAGGGTTTGAGGATAGGATGAGGATGTGGTGGTATTTTATCTACCTGTCTATGTGATTATCGTGATGTGATGAGACGATAGGAAGATAGAAGTGGGGGTGGGGTATAGAGTCTATGTTCGGGACAGGATAAGTCAATTACAGAGAAAGGGGGAAGAGGGTGGTGAGAATGAAAAAGAAAGTACGAGGCCCAAAGAAATACTCGGATATGGAATTCGCGCATGCAATGAAAATGCAAAAACAGAAGCGAGTCGTTCCGGGATTCATCGTCTCTCCATGTCGAATGAGTTGATCTCTCGATGGAACGGCTTCACGGCCCCCTTGGGCAGCAGCCACCCGGGGTGGAAGACGTTGAACACGGCGACGGCGATGACCATCATGACGCCGTCGAGGACGATGAAGTACACCTCGTGGGTGATGAGGTAGCCGGACCAGCCCTGCGACAGCTCGATCGTGCGGTAGATGCTCCGGACGTAGATGACGACGACCGACAGAATCATGGCGCCTAGCAGGGGCACGACGGAGCCGGTCATGGTCTGCAGGAGGCGGAGGCGCAGGGTGCGGCGCACGAAGTCGGCCGCCAGCAGGACGAAGACGGTGATCGAGGCCAGCTGGAAGACGATACCGGCCACCATGGTGTGCGTGCCGGGCTCGGTGTTGCCGTCCGCGCTGTTGTAGGCGATCGACGCCAGCCCGCCGCCGATGGCCTGCACGACCAACGACACAATGTCGCAGGTGACGAAGATCCAGAGGTACAGCTTGGGGCTCAGCATCGAGGTTTCCGGGCCCATCAGCGCGATGAACCGGCCCAGAAGGACGTAGATTCCCGCGGTGAAGAAGGTTGGGGCTGAAACGAGGTGGTGGATTAGGGCCAATGTTTGGTGTATGAGCCTTTCCAGGAGATTATGCGACTTACCGATGATCAGGGTGGAAATCTGCATCAGGAACGCAGTCGAGTTATACGGACACTCTGCAGACCATGTACGACCGGCCCAACCGATGAGTTCAACTGGAAAGAAGCTTGTCAGTTCGCGCGCAGGCAGACCAGATGTGAAAAGATTAGGATGGGGACGTACCAGCACATCCGAGGACGAATACCGTACACCACCATGTCCTCTTCCATACCATCTGCACCAGATGCGCAAGCATGGAGACCCCAAAGAGCACGCAGAATACGATGCCTGCGGCCAGTGATGGCTGGTAGCCATATGATGTGCCATACCCCTCCACGTAAGCATGGCAGCCCTCTCTCAACGACTGGCGGAACTCGGCCTGAGCCGCAAGCGTGCTGTTGCTCATCTTGAACTAGATCCTAGTCGACAGCCACAATAATCACAGAGACGTTCGGACGTTTATCAAAACTCGTAGATAGATGGCGTGAACAGTTCTTAGACCTCAAAACACACAGAGGCAGGGAAAAAAGGAGAAGATACAAAAAGCCGCAGAGAAAATAGCACCGGGGCCGTGCTATATAAGACCAAGCGAGGGAACGGGATTACTCCACAGGGTGAACGGAATTGCTCCACCTGTGAATGCAGAGATGAGAAAGAAAAACGAGTGGCCGAGCCACAGGCAAGACTCTCAGGGTCAGATCCGATTGTATGGAGCCAGGGTAAGGGTAAGGTACGTTGTGTACTGTCCAACGCGCCGCGCGATCCTTCCAAAACCTTGGTTTCCAAGCCCACCCACGTTTGATCCTATTCGTATCACATCATGTCTGCCTGGGGGAGGGAATCCCCTGTACTCTGTTCTATGGGCCACCCATCATAGCCAGCCTTGTCGAGAAAGACGGTGAAAATCTGTGCTACCTGAGAATCTAATTGATTGTTTCACACCCCCGGGGGTGATGGTCCCTGGCCGGTTCCATTAGTAATTCAGGACCATGAAGGAAACTAAACCGCTCATTCGCCGAATGTCCACGGTATTTTGGGCGAGACCCAAAAAAGAGAGCTGACGGGGGAATTGGCTGGTTCCATAGTTGCGCGGCGAAGATATGGACTCGCAAGGTACACCGAATCGGGTTTAGATTGTCACATACCAACGCCTAACGATTGCCGAAGCTCCCGAGAGAGCCACGGCCGGGACATTTGTTAGGCGAATCACCACCGCCGAATGCCGTGCATAAAGTGTCCGCTTGTCTCATGGGATAGAAGCAGTGACCTGTCGTTGCTGCAGCTGCAGCTGCAGTTGGCCAAGGCCACAATGCGTGAGGGCTCGTTTCAGCGCCCAGATTCTTCCAGCTTCGTCAGTCGGGAAAACCACTCTCAATCTAACCCGGCTGACGTAGGGGGAGAAGTTGACAGGGAAGCGGAGATCGGGAAGATCCAACCCCGATGTCAACGTCGCGACTCGTGTAAACAACAAAACCTAAGTCTCCATGCAGGGCGTGATACGTACGCCCTTGATGATGCTATACTTTCAATGGGAATCCAGACAAATATGGCAGCCTGATCATTTTTGAGCCCCGTGTTCCATGTGGCAGTGAGTTGAGAGACGGAGATAACGTTTGAGGACTCCGTGAGCCGCTCTGATGTCAGCTTCACTGAAGGATTAGTTAATTCGCTGCCTAAAGAACCAGGCTCCTACGGCCGGTCCCGCCGCTATCATCGCAAGCTTCTACATTTTGGGAATAGTGGACGACGCTCAACACGAAGCCATGTCCCTTGGCGATCACAGCCTTTAAGCCCCGATTTCCCCTACTTACTCATATGTCTACCTATAGATCTCCACAAAGGAATGAAATTGAAAACTCTATTAACTATTGATTGTCTTATTTCTCATGACTCATAATCATCCGACAGCTTCTTAGTCAAAGGAGGGCGTCTCATAGGTACCTTCGGGGTCTATACAAAACGATCAGCACGGGTTCCGATGGTCAAAAATTCTGGGAGTTTGAAGGGGAGGTTTGCTTACCCTGTCGATTCTTGAGGATGTACTTGCGCGTTTCAGCAATCTCGTGGCCGAGCTCCGCACACAGCTCCTGCTGGCGTACCTGGACTCTCTCGTTTCGTCTGGAGGCCCCGATGACAGCTGCCTGCGCCACGTGGTAACGTGAAACGTGGTTCAGTAGCATCATGTCGAACGGAGTTGTGGTACTGCCTTCTTCCATGTATCCTTCGATGGTGACCCGGTCCAGACCAGGCCGGCCGAAGAGCAGCCCCTTCAGCTCAGTCGGGTATCCGTGGTAGTTGATGTGGATGGGTCGGTCGGATCCAAACAGGCTGTCGAAGGCTTCCGTCGTCAGAGCATGCGGGTGCTGCCCGTGGTTCTCAAGGATCAACAGGTCCGTCACGTTCACAACCCGGACTCGGAGCTCGGGGCAACGCTTGCGGAGGATAGCCGCTGCAGCGATGACTTCAAACATCACCTCGACGCCGATGCCGACAAGCACAACATCAGGGTCCAGACCCCCATCAGTGCTGCAGAACTTCCAGATCGACGCCCCCGCTCTGCAGTGATTCTCTGCCTCCTCCGGGCTGAGGTACACCGGAGTCGGCTGCTTGGAGCCCACCATCAGATTGATGTAATTCTTGGACTTGAGACAATGGTGAAGCGTGGATAGGAAAGTGTTGGCATCAGGCGGCAGGTACACGCGGGCGGCCGTGGGCTTCAGCTTGAGGACTGCACCAATGAAGGATGGGTTCTGGTGAGAAAATCCATTGTGCTCCTGCCGGGCCCAAGTGCTAGTCTCGATGTAATTGAGACTGCTCACAGGGCTGTGCCAGGACGTCTCTTGAGCCTACTAAGATCAGTACCAACAGGCAACAGACGGGGGAGGGCTTGAGTAGCTCACCATCTTGTTGAACTTGGCATACTGCACCATCATCGTGTGGATGATGCCCAGGAAACTCTCGTAGGACGGGAAGATACCGGTGCGGCCGGTCAAGGTGTAACCTTGCATGAAGCCCTGGCACAGATGTTCACTCAGCACCTCGATGACGCGACCCCCTTTGGCGTTTGAAAACTGATCCCATTGAAAGTTTCTTCCGGTGTGCGACAGGGCAGCGTCGAGCTTGTTACTTTCCAGCTCATCCGGAGAGAACAGTCGGACACTGTGTGGGTTCTTGGTGAACACTTGGTCGATCAATCTGCCAATCGCCTTCATAGCACTTTCTTGGGTGCCCTTTTCCACGCCTAGCTCCTTCCAGTCGGGGAGCTCCGGTGCCATGTACCCCTTGTAGGCCTCGGCTCGCTGGCCCAGCTTCTTTTCGTCGTCTGCAGGGATCACGGACTTGATCTCATCGATGATATCACCACCTTCGGTGAACAGCTCGCTCGGACCATAAGCAGAAAGCCACTTCTCCAGAGCAGCAAGCTCCTCCTCGTCTTTCTTCGCGTTGGGGAGAGGCACCTGGTGCGAATGGAATGAACCTTCGATGAACGTTCCATGAAGCTCCTTGGGTCCAGACCAGCCCTATGAGATTACAAATTAGCTTTCCCCGATTATCAAAAGGTTGGCTGCATAAGAACCTACCTTTGGTGTCCGCAGCACAAGCATTGGCCAACGAGGCTTCATGATTGGCTTGCCCGAACGTGCAGCCTTCTGAATCTTGTGGATCTCATCAACCGCCCACGCCATGGAGTTGTGAAGGTCGGTGTCAATATCCTCCAGGTTCTCAACAATGCGGACTTGGTAGCCGTAGCCCGTGAAAAGAGTGATGAGTTCCTTGTTGTCCATGCACCCGAAGATGGTGCGCTCGCTAATCTTGAATCCGTTGACGTGGAGGATGGGTAAGACGGCGCCCGACTCAGCGGGGTCAATGTACTTGATGGCATGCCACGAGCTTGAAACATCATCAGAATCAGCATCAGCATATGCCAACCAACGGACGACGACCACCGGATGGAATGGACTTACGTGGCAGTCGGACCGGTTTCCGCTTCTCCATCGCCAACCACACAGGTGACAATAAGATCCGGGTTATCCATGACCGCACCGAACGAGACAGCCAGGGCATAACCCAGTTCACCACCCTCATGAATCGCACCGGGAGTTTCTGCATTGATATGGCTGTTGAAAGGGAAGAAAAGGAGGTCAGCAACATGTCTACCAGGAGCAAGCCTCAACCGCAAGCAAGTCGTTCTCGTTACCTAGGAAGTCCAGCACTCGTGCTGAAGGTCGAAATGAGTTGACGGAGACCGTCCATGTTGCGCGAATATTCGGGGTAGAATTTGCCCAATGAGCCCTCCAGCCAGAGGGAGGCTAGCAGAGCCGGAGCGCCGTGGCCTGGTCCAACCACGTAGAGCATATTCAGATCCTGCTTCCGGACCAGGTAGTTCAGATGTGAGTACACCAGGATCAACCCGGGACATGTACCCCAGTGACCTGCGGAAGAAGTATGAGCTGCTGTTGCTGTTGCTGCTGCTGTGGTTCTGGAACGGAACCGGCGGAACCGGTATGAGGGTAAACTCACCCAGGAGTCGAGGCTTGATGTCCTCATGCTTCAATCCACGTTTCAGCAGCACGTTATCCTGAAGGAAGATCATCGCTGTAAACACATTCGGTCATTAGTTTTATGTTTGTGTGACAATGGGTGGTGATGGATTGGCTGGCTGGCTTACCAGCAGCGATGTACGCCGCCGCACGACGATACTTCTGCAAAGCATTGTAATCTGATTCCTCTAGCTTAGTTGTCTGGAGTTGGACTTGCAATTGTTCGACGAGATCAGGGATGTGGGATGGTTCCGGCTTGGGATTCGGCCGATCGATGACTTCTCCCGGCATGATGGGCTGATACTGTATCCCGGTGGGTGTATTTGGGGAGTAGGCTGGGCTTATCGCGATAAGGTAACGGAGAAAGTAGGAAGCGAGTAGTAGAAGTATACGCGAGGATTGGATAAATCCCACGTGGAGGACAGCAGGGTAAATGATTAGACAAAGACAGGCAAAGCACGAGAAAGATATCAGGCCACCAGGTTAAGGGAGAGGGGAGATGCAGCTTGAAATAAGCCCGGTGTTGACAAACTTGACATTGTATCCTGTCCGACTCGACCTGCTATTTTTTTTTGGCTTCCCGCTACGTCACCTGGTGAAGGGTCTCTGACATCACCCAACCACTTTCAACCACTTTCGCTATCTTTCTCCCCACCAATCTTCCAGAGCTACGAACAACTTCCAAGAACTGCTCTGCCCACCTGCAAGATCACACATGCAACTGGACCCATACGGCAATGCAACTCCGAGATTTCGATCATTAGACAGTCACATATAACTATAGGGCCGGCCTAGCCAGGAAAATTGACGGACTCTTCGAACTGCTACATAGAGATCTATCTCCTTGCATCTTGTACATACATACCCCGCCTACCACAATCCCCTCCCCTCCCCTCTCCCTTCTCACTACCTACTCAACACTTATAATCTATTTAATTCCCCTCACCATGCCCCGCAAGTCCATCCTCTCCGTCAATGCCGGCTCCTCGTCGGTCAAACTCACCTTCTATACCTTCGAGCAGCACCCCAAGGTGATCGCGACCGCGCAGGTCTCCGGCATCACCGCCCCACCCGCCAAGCTCAAGTACACCTGCGGCGAGAAGAACCACACCGAGGAGATCAAGGAAAGCATCGGAACCCCGCAAGACGCCTTCAAGTTCCTCCTCGACCGCTGCGTCTCCGACCCGGAACTGTCGGAAGTCGGCAGCAAGGACGATCTGGCCTACATCTGCCACCGCGTCGTCCACGGGGGTGACTACGACTCCTCCGTGGTGATCACCGACGAGACCTATCACCATTTGGAGAAATTGGAGGATCTGGCTCCTTTGTATGTTTTTTAGACTCCACCCGCCCCCCCCCCTACCTCCCGGCCTGATGTGCGATATTGGTGTTCCTACCGTCCAGACTTACACAATGAAATACAGACACAACTTCTCAGCCCTGGAAATCATCCGTCACTGCCGGACCGAGATCCCCGACGTGAAAAGCATCACCTTCTTCGACTCGGCATTCCACCAGACGATCCCCGAGCACGTGCGCACGTACCCCATCGATCCGGAAGTCGCTAAATCCAAGGGTCTCCGGAAGTATGGCTTCCACGGCATCAGCTACTCGTATATCCTGCGATCGGTGGCGGAATTCCTCAACAAGCCCGTTGAGCAGACCAGCGTGATCGCGATGCATGTCGGAAGCGGCGCTTCGATGTGTGCAATCAAGGATGGCAAATCGGTCGATACCACGTAAGGGAGATGCCTCGCTTGCAGTTTGATCGTCGGTCGAAGTTAGACACTAATATTTGTGCACAGGATGGGCTTGACTCCTCTGGCGGGACTACCGGGAGCGACGCGAAGCGGAGATATCGATCCATCGTAAGGGAGAACCCTAGCAACTTTTTTGGGGCAAAGAACAAGGCTAAGGGACAATGTGACCAGACTCGTATTCCACTACACCAGCGAAGCAGGCAAATTGAGCCCGGCCAGCACCAAAGAAATGCACATCAGCACGGTATGGATGTCCTTTGGGCACTGCTCAAAGTGTAGCGCAGCGCAGCTGACCCCCTCGCCTAGGCCGAAGAAATCCTCAACAAGAAGTCCGGGTGGAAGGCCCTGACGGGCACCACCGACTTCTCCCAGATCGCCGTCGAGAACCCCCCGAGCCCCAGCCACAAGCTCGCGTTCGATATCATCGTAGACCGTATCCTCGGCTACATCGGGAATTACTACCTGAAGCTGGGCGGCAAGGTCGACGCCCTCGTGTTTGCGGGAGGCATTGGCGAGAAGAGCGCTCTCCTGCGGAAGGCGGTGATCGAGCGATGCCAGTGTCTCGGTTTCGCTATCGACGAGGCGTCCAACGACAAGGGCCCGGGCGAGGGCCAGACGGTGGTGGATGTTTCCAAGGCTGGTGGATCCAGGGGACCGCGGGTGTTGATTTGCCAGACGGATGAACAGGTGAGTGAAACTGTCTCCCACTGTCTTGGACGATGGAGGGAACATGGGAGGCTGACGCTCGTGGGTTTGAATTCTTGCAGTACGAGATGGCACATGGATGTGTTGAGAAGTACGGCACGAACACCAACTCGTGATTTTCTTCGCCGTGATGGATTGATGAATTTGAGGGAGGAACGCAATCGCCATGACCTATCACTTAATGATGATGATGATGCTTATAATTTTTTCAGCTCAGTTGAGACATTGAAATCCAATCCCTCCCTCCCCTGACTTACCGTAGCCATGAGCAGCACACCTGCCTGGACCCATGGAAACTCAAACCATCAACTCCATTACCTGGAATTATTCAGGACACTCATTTCCAGCAAGCAAGACAGGGTCTTCAAGCCGCAGTGCACCAGCCAGGATCCTTTCCAGGCATGGTATTTGGAAGCGAACGCGAGCTGTGTCTGAGACAGTGAGGAACGCGAAAGGAGACGGATACATCACGTCGCCAAAGACAGAGGCAACAAACACCCACGGCATCCATGTAATGTTGGAAGATGAAACGGAACAACCAAGTCAGACTATTTTCCACATGTCTCGACAGGTAACCTAGAATTTGTAGTGCTCCAGCACTGCCCACTGGCTTCATAAAACGGGGGGTAAGTTAGGCTCAAGCTGTCTAGACCTCTCACCTCCCGGACCATACCCGATCTACACTAGCAGCCACGCAGGGATTGTAAGCAGGCCTAGGTAGAATACTAGGTAAAGCAATGTAACTTGTCAGACAAACCGAACTAGCTTTC